GGAGGGTGGGTGGGTGGGGGCTGAAAAATACTAAAACTTTTCGTTTTGTAAAAACAATCGGTAACCCCGGACGGCCCCTAAGGGGCCGTCCAAGGTTACCAATAGTATTTTCATAACGAAAAGTTTTCGTTTGGGGGTGGGTGGGTTTGAAGGAGTTTCGTTTTGAAAATAATTATTGAATGCAGATGGAGAATGCCCAGTTACTTCTGGGTGTCGAAAATTGACATCAATATTTTATTGGAATTCGTTTTACCTGCAGAAAAGGTAGGTGGGTGGGTGGGTGCTGAAAAATACTAAAGCTTTTCGTTTCGCAAAAACTATTGGTAACCCCGGACGGCCCCTAACATCCCTATTCTTTTTTCTGCCGTCATCAAGGCGATAGATGGTGTCGTATTACCCTCGACCGTACCTGTCCCGTACCTGTCCCGTACCGTACCGTACAATCAAAGACGGCTGGCCACAATGCATATTCAAATAGGGCTTTCAAATACAAGATCATAACGGGAAGCAACTTGGAAGAATTAGTATGTATGCGAAGTGTATCAGGGGATGCATGCAGGGCGATAGTGCGGGTTCGAATCCCAGGTTACCGGGGTATGTCTAAAACAAAAAGTAGAAATTTATAAGAATTTATAACATCCCTATGCTCTTTTTGTCTAGGTCATCAAGGCAAAAAAGCATAGCGTAGGGCCCTGAGCTTCCAAGCTCTCTCGTTCTAACGAGTTAACGAATTTGAAAGAATCGTTAACATTGGAAGTCGTTATGTGCAAAACAATAATATATATATTATTATGTACATGTACAGTCATTTGCCGCTTTTGACACCGAATTCGTTGGAATTTCACCTCGCTAACCACCAAAATTCCAGAACTCGTTAACTTTAATTGACGTTAAAATATCTGGTCTTACAGTCCAGTTAGCACTGGTACCTCTACAAGGCTCAACCTCGTTTGAGGGCCTCCCAAGCGAGTTTTAGTACAATGTAGTTTTTTTCTTTGTGCAGGTTTGACTAGCTACAGCTACGTGGACTGTGCACGTTTCTGCCGCATTTGAAGACTAGTGTTTTGTAATTCACTCACTCTAATGGCAACCTTACTTGCCCCTTATGAAAAAGGAATGAAAAGCCACGCGTACACCTCAAGTCTTGTGAAAGGAAGGAACATTCGCTGGCAGTATTTGGTGTGACCGAAGATGGATGTTTGTGCTGACATGTAGAGAAACACCTGACTTGGCTCTAGTATGGAATCGACTTTAAATGTGATGCTATGAACTTCCATGAACATACTGACTGTTCTGTACCAATGAAATGCTGACCGGTACCTGTCTGCATGTGCGCGCACGTATGTGTGTGTGCACGCACGCGCGTGCGCGCGTGCGTGTATGTGTGTCTATCTCTCTCTCTCTCTCTCTCTCTCTCTCTCTCTCTCTCTCTCTCTCTCTCTCTCTCTCTATCTATCTATCTCTCTCTCTCTATCTCTCCCTTCCCCCGCAATTCTCCGTTCGGACTTTTCTGATGCAACTCCGTTGCTTTCGTTCACTTTACCCTTGTGCTTCAGGCATTGCTCATCCAGTGCATGAGCCTTCACGACCAATCAACATGATCAAGAGAAAGAGAACACCTTCGCACCCAACTACGCCGTCGACAACTGAGGCAACCTCCAGAAGGAGACCAGCATCCTCCGAGCCACCACCAGTGATGGCAGTAGATTCGAAAGCGTCTTACGGCCCGAGCTGGTGCGACGCGGACGACGAGGATCGCTTGTTCTGCCTCAGCCTGGTGTATCACCTGAAGAAGCTGCCTCCGCGCTCTCTGACTCGCATGAGCCTGCAGCGCATCCTTCACGATGCTCAGTTTGGCAGCTGCATGGAGCCTCAGTACTCGATGCAAGCCGCCGCTAACATTCAGCCGGTGCCGTTTGCGCACACCTGGCCAAGCTACTATTCGCCAGGCAACACTGCTGCGGCAAATCCCGTTCACCCAACTCCCGGCATGCCCAGGCCAGACTTGGCACGATCTGGCGGCTGCATGCCGGTCACTTCTCAACCCAACCTGGTTGGTGGCAACGGTGGTGTTAACCGGAGTACGTAAACGGTTAGATCACCGTGTGCTTCCCGCCATCGTCCTGACCAGCCAATGGCCCCTGATTTTTTAGCAGACTTGCTGTGACTCGCCGGACTAGGCGCGATCTGCCAGATATATGCCTGGCAGTTCTCCGCCCGACTTGGCTTCCCGCCAATGACGGTGTTACCTGGAGTGCATACATGGTTAGAACATTGTGTGCTTCCCGCCATTGTCCTGACCGACCAATGACCCCTGATTTTCGAAGCACAGCCGTAAATGACCCTTGATTTTCGGCAGAACAGCCGTAACTCCTGCCGCTAACAACAGCGGCACATTTTGCTTTCCCCGACGACAACAATCGATAGTGATTCGAAGTGGTCGGTTGTCGTAACTAGCTCGGCATCCCGTTCTCCGCGCTCTTCTCCCGATCGCCTTGCT